CTCAAGATTAGCTACTTGAGTATCCGTTGACCTCATGATTGGCAATTTGTCCGAAAATTAACGCCTTTTTTGCGCTGCATGCGAAATCCAGTTGACCTCTGTCGTAGCCTGGAGGGTTGCTAACGGTCGGTTACCACGACCAGTAGCTTTTGCGGCAGCCTCATTTGTACTGATTGCCTTTTACTTCATCAAAGATGATGCGTGATGATAGCTTGGTCACCCATATTTGCGTTGCGGCCAGTGTTCGCCTGCGGGTCCTGCATGTGGCTGGTTTTTTCTGCTAAGTAGGAGTACCGAATACAGAGAGGAAGGAGACCACTGCACTTGTGCACAGACTGGGGTCCGGTGAACCATGACGCAAACAGCTCGCGTTTCACGTGATTGTCACTTTTCACGCAAATTTCTATCTCGTCGAATTTGAATTTGTAGGCAGGTCTCGGCAAGTTATCCGATACCTGGGACAAGGTGTCATTTCTCCGCATTACCGCTACATGCTTGTCAATTCGCACCCAGAGCAGTCTTCTAGTTTCTCCGACATAGTTGCTTTTTCCGCAGTTGCATCAGATTCAATAACGGGCTCAAGACTTTTCTTTTCATGACAGTGGTTTTCTGTCTAATTACATGGTGACTGATGGTTGCCTTCGGTAGGCATGTGACTCACGCTCCAAGTGGTGTAAGGTGACTGACTGTCTCCGAGACGTTCTTTAGGCCCAGGCGGCTTTACTCTGTATTCGCTTCCTGATAGAAAAGCCATCCGCAAGGTGGATTCACTTCTTTCAAGACGTCTAGCAAAGGCCCACATATATTTTGGGTTCCATCTCAACTAAAGATTCTCAATAAATGCTGCAACACAGGGTGGTGCTCCGGTAGTGAAGGATTAGGTACTTGAGTGTCCTCTAAATGCTTGATCGACAGTTTGTCTGAAAATTGCTGTCTATTTTGTGCTGCATTAGAAATTTAGTTTACTCCAGTCGTGGTCTGAATGGCTGCTAACGGTCAGTTATCACAGTCAACAGCTTTTGTGATAGCCTTATCTATATTTATTGCTTTTCGCTTCATTTGGTTGCGCAAAAGCCTTCCCTGCTGTCTGGGTTCGAATCCCACCGAGGCCGCGAGTTTTTTTACAATTGGGTCAACTAAATTAAGCAGATCTTCCAAAGCCACCTAACAAAGTTACTTCATTATTAATTAGACCCAACAGTGAAGACCTCGGCGGCCTTGGTGCAATTCGAACTCACGCTAGCAAGGGAAATCTCGAGTACAGCCAACGCTCTAGCCGGCTGAGCTACCGAGACTCCACCGCGGGCCGTGAGTTTAATCACACTTGGGTCGACGTACCCACGCAGCATACAGTTTTGTTATAAACGGAAGACTTTGAGAGGTGTCTGCATGTCCTAAAGGACCGGCATGCCCGCGGTGCAAGGTGCCACTCAAAGAAAAAGTCAAGTCGCCTAGACCATATCGCTTAATCGTTTTTATCT